AAAAAAAAAAAAAAAAAAAGAAAGAGGCCGGTGTGGTGGCTACGCCTGTAATCCCAGCACTTTGGGAGCCCAAGGCTGGTGAATCACTTGAGGGCAGGAGTTTGAGACCAGCCTGGCCAACATGGAGAAACCCCGTCTCTATTAAATATACAAAACTTAGCTGGGCATGGTAGTTTGTGCCTGCAATTCCAGCTACTCGGGAGGCTGAGGCAGGAAAATCGCTTGAACCCGGGAGACCGGGGTTGCAGTGAGCTGAAATTTCTCCACTGCACTCCAGCACGGGTAAAAAAAGTGAGATTTGGCCAGGCACAGTGGCTCACGCCTGTAATCCCAGCACTTTGGGAGGCTGAGGCGGCCGGATCACGAGGTCAGGAGATGGAGACCATCCTGGCTAACAAGGTGAAACCCCGTCTCTATTTAAAATACAAAAAAAATTAGCCAGGTGTGGTGGCAGGCGCCTGTAGTCGCAGCTACTTGGGAGGCTGAGGCAGGAGAATGGCGTGAACCCGGGAGGCGGGGCTTGCAGTGAGCCTAGATCGCGCCACTGCACTCCAGCCTGGGCAACACAGCAAGACTCCGTCTCAAAAAAAAAAAAAAAAAAAAAAAAAAAAAAAAAAAAAAAAAAAAAAAAAAAAGAAAGAAAAGAAAAAGAAAAAAAGAGAAAGAAAGAAGAAAGAAAAAAAAGGTCTGTTCCTGTGTTTGCTCAGAACACCTTCTATGGCTTCCCATTTCAGTAAAATCCAAGTGTCTTAGCCCGTTTTGTGCTGGCTAAATCGGAAAACCACAGACTGGATAATTTGTAAAGAATCAAAGTTTATTTTGCTCACAGTTTCACAGTTTTAGGGGCTGGAAAGTGCAAGAACCTCATGCAGTATCTAGCAAAGGGCTGTCCTAGGATGGAAGGGCAGAAGGTGGAAGCAAACGAGAGACAGGAAATTGGGCCTGTCCAGTAGCCTCCCACGTGAGGATCCTCGGACTGAGAGGGTACTAGGAGGGCTGACACAGCGCAACCCTGTGATCCCCACCTCCGTTCCTGGAACGTAGGAAATCTGGGTGTTAGTTCTGGCTTTGCGATGCCTCTTGGGTGACCTGGCTGAAGCTAATCTCTCCTCATTAGGCCAGAAGGGAATCTGTGAAACGGGCTTTGAATCCTGCCTTGACTTTCTCCGCCCAGTCCCGGCGGAGATCATATCGCGACTAACGCTTCACCCACTTCCAGAGCCTTCGAGATAGGCCCCGCCCCATCAGCAGGACACCTCCCACGCCACTAGAAGTCTCGCGAGAATCCCGCGATGAAGCGAAGTCGAGACGTTTGACCGTCCTCCTTTTCCGTAGTTTCGAGTTGCGGTTTCTGTTAGTGTTTCCGGGTTGCCGCCAGGGAAGTCTCCGCGGTGGTGCAAGTGGAACCAAAGCCTTGAGGTTTCAGTGAGTAGGGGACCGACGTGAGCTTGAGCGTCCCCCTTTAGCGTCCCTCTTCGATTCCTTGGAGACTCTGGTGCAGCTTAGCAAGAGGGCCCAGGATTTTTGGATCCCCAGCCCTGTGACAAGGGTTCCTGTACAGTTTCCCCCTCCCAGGATTTCGACTCAGTTCAGCGAAGTCACCGCTCCGAGAAATGAGGACACCAAGGCTTACAGCACAGCCCCGAGGCGCCGTCTGCCAGGCCCCGTCCCCTCCCCCGGCTCCTCTCGATCAGCATTGAAACCCCGTCCCTGCTCCAGGTCTCCTCTGGGGTCCAAGGTCCTGTGCAGGCCTCTGCCTCGGCCGCAGGCCCTTCCGTCACCGTCGCCTCGTCTCCCTGACTGTCCGCAGGCCTGGGCAGCATGGCCGTATTCCGGTCGGGTCTCCTGGTGCTGACGACGCCGCTGGCCTCCCTGGCCCCTCGCCTGGCCCCCATCCTGACCTCGGCGGCCAGGCTGGTGAATCACACACTCTATGTACACCTGCAGCCTGGCATGAGCCTGGAGGGCCCGGCTCAGCCCCAGTCCGGCCCCGTGCAGGCCACGTTTGAGGTTCTTGATTTCATCACCCACCTCTATGCTGGCGCCGACATCCACAGGCACCTGGATGTCAGAATCCTACTGACCAATATCCGAACCAAGAACACCTTTCTCCCTCCCCTGCCCACCTCAGTCCAGAATCTCGCCCACCCGCCAGAAGTCGTGTTGACAGACTTCCAGACCCTGGATGGCAGCCAGTACAACCCGGTCAAGGAGCAGCTAGTGCGATACGCCACCAGCTGTTACAGCTGTTGTCCACGACTGGCCTCGGTGCTGCTATACCCCGATTATGGGATAGGAGAGGTGCCCGTGGAGCCCCTGGATGTCCCCTTACCCTCCACGATCAGGCCAGCTTCCCCCGTGGCCAGGTCTCCAAAGCAGCCGGTGCGTGGCTACTACCGTGGTGCTGTCGGTGGCACGTTTGACCGCCTGCACAACGCCCACAAGGTGTTGCTCAGTATCGCGTGCATCCTGGCCCAGGAGCAGCTTGTGGTGGGAGTAGCAGACAAAGATCTGTTGAAGAGTGAGTGAGAGGGACCCTGGACTAGGGCAGTGGAGGATCCCCATATCTCCCCATTCCAGACCCTTATGCCGAGATCGAGGAAGGGTAGGGCCATTCACTACTTCCCACCCTTCCCAAATGTCACAGTGGTTGACACTCAGTTGGTGCTAAGGACATTTTGTCAAATAAACAGCTTTCTCAGCATGTGGTCCAATCACCACTCAATCAGAATACCCCAAATGTGAAGCAAAGGGATCTGTACTTTAGCAAGTTTTCCAGGAGATACACCCTAATGAAACACTGGGAATGAATGGGTGAGTGAGCTGCAGGTAGCAGTGCCACAAACAGGAGGAGGAAACTCAAGCATGGCATGGGTCTTGGAATTTTCCATCTGCCTCTGATGCCCTCTGGCACTGCTCATTCTCTGGAGTGGTTTCCTGGTGGCTTATTTTCTGGACACATGCCAGCCCTTGGAGTGACTATTGTGCTTGCCTGTTTCTTCACCTTCATGCTCCCCTCACCATCACCATAGGCCTTACCAGCTGAACCCTTTCTGCCACCCCCCTCTGGAGATACTGTACTTAGGGACACTTTTCCCCAAACTGGCCCATACTCTCCTTCCCAGTAAAAAGATCTCACTGTTGTTCTGGGCTCCTTCCCTAGGCAAGTTGCTCCCTGAGCTGCTCCAACCTTACACAGAACGCGTGGAACATCTGAGTGAGTTCCTGGTGGACATCAAGCCTTCCTTGACTTTTGATATCATCCCCCTGCTGGACCCCTATGGGCCCGCTGGCTCTGACCCCTCCCTGGAGTTCCTGGTGGTCAGCGAGGAGACCTATCGTGGGGGCATGGCCGTCAACCGCTTCCGCCTTGAGAATGTAACCCCTGAGGGAGACTGGCAGGGGGAGTGGATGGGGGACGGGGAAGGCCATTTTGAGGGGACTGTTGGAAGTACCATGGCCCCAGAGAAGTGGGGGCTTAGGGTGGTGGGAAGAAGCAAGGAGGAACTGGTTCTGTTTGCCCGCTGAGTTGGAGGAGGAGCCTGGGGAGGAAGGGGAGGATGGGGGGCAGGCTGGATGTCAGGGGCTTCCTCTCACTCCTTCCCTCTTTTCACCCTTTCCTCTTTACCCCAGAACCTGGAGGAGCTTGCCTTGTACCAGATCCAGCTGCTGAAGGACGTCAAACATACAGAGAATGAAGAGGACAAAGTCAGCTCCTCCAGCTTCCGCCAGCGAATGCTGGGAAACCTGCTTCGGCCTCCATATGTAAGCTTCTCTCCCTCCTTCCCTCCTGCTTGGGTGTGCTGGCAATGCTGAAGAGTAGAAGCTGAGGGGCTCAGCCCCAGGCATGAGGCTCAGGGCCCCAGTAACTGTGGGTTCCCTTTCACCTACCCCCCAGGAAAGGCCAGAGCTCCCAACGTGTCTCTATGTAATTGGGCTGACTGGCATCAGTGGCTCTGGGAAGAGCTCAATAGCTCAGCGGCTGAAGGGCCTGGGGGCGTTTGTCATTGACAGTGACCACCTGGGTCATCGGGCCTATGCCCCAGGTGGCCCTGCCTACCAGCCTGTGGTGGAGGCCTTTGGAACAGGTAATAACTGGGGAAGGCTGGAAGTGGCCTGGAGTGAGGAGCTAGCCAGGCGTCTGTGCTCAGTTGTCTATCTCTGTTGTCCAGATATTCTCCATAAAGATGGCATCATCAACAGGAAGGTCCTAGGCAGCCGGGTGTTTGGGAACAAGGTAAACAACAGTTTCCTAAGGGCTCCTAAGCCGCTACTAGACCCAGGGGTCAGGGTCTGGTGGACCTCTCTGGTCTGGCCCAGAATGCCAATTCCACTGATCTGTTCTCAACACCACCTTGCTCGGGCTGGCGTCTTCTAGAGAAGGTAACCTCTGCCCTCTGTTCCCCTCCCCAGAAGCAGCTGAAGATACTCACGGACATTATGTGGCCAATTATTGCAAAGCTGGCCCGAGAGGAGATGGATCGGGCTGTGACTGAGGGTGAGTAGGAGGGAGGATAGGAGCAGCCAAGGGGACAGTTAAGCTGATTCTTCCCCTGGGAGCTTCCCTGCCCCATGTGGACTGTCCGCTCACCCTGGGACTGTGTTGCATGTGCTTTGCCTGGGAGAGCGTCAGCACTGCTGGCGGTGACTGGGCTCTCCCCACAGGAAAGCGTGTGTGCGTGATTGATGCGGCTGTGCTGCTTGAAGCCGGCTGGCAGAACCTGGTCCATGAGGTGTGGACTGTTGTCATCCCTGAGACTGAGGTATCTCAGCCCCACCCCCACGCCATCCCTACTGCAAATCCTATCCTGTGAGCTGGAATTCTTCCTGACAAATGTCTCGTCTGTGCCCAGGCTGTAAGACGCATTGTGGAGAGGGATGGCCTGAGTGAAGCTGCAGCTCAAAGCCGGCTGCAGAGCCAGATGAGCGGGCAGCAGCTTGTGGAACAGAGCCACGTGGTGCTCAGCACCTTGTGGGAGCCGCATATCACCCAACGCCAGGTTGGTGCCCAGGGCAAGGCTGGGTTGTGGGGAAGGAGTCTCCAGTGGATGCTGCCTGACCCTGCCCTCTCTTCCTCCCAACATTCCGGCCTGTCTGAAGGTGGAGAAAGCCTGGGCCCTCCTGCAGAAGCGCATTCCCAAGACTCACCAGGCCCTTGACTGAAAAGTTCTCAGTGGGGCCAGACTGGCCCCTGGAGCTGACAAGCGACCCCGTGGTGAGGAGAAATGGGGGCCTTGATGCGTATCATGGTTCAGGCCCAGAGGTCTAAGCTATGCTGTGTAGGACATGGCCAGGCCTGGTGGACTCAGGAAACCTACCCAACACTGGTATTTGGCCAACACTGAGGATGTGGTTCATGGATGAGCAGGCCCCTCCCCACTCTTGCCCATGGGTGACTCTTACCCACAGCTGACTAGGGCCAGCGCAAATACTGGAACCTGTAACAGAATTAAAGGTGAATGTTCCCAGGTATTGCCTGGATGGTGTCTGCTTCCTGCTCCAATGCCTCTAAGTATCTTTGGGATCCTTAAGCCACAAGTGCAGGGCCCAGGCCTGAGCTGGAAGCCTGGGCAATGCAGTGGTTAAGAGGATGGCCGCATGGCCTTTAGGCGAGCCTTGGCCCTCCCACTGACCAGCTGTGTGCTTCTGAGTAAGGTGTAGACTTTCTAGGTACTGCCGTGTTTTTTTGTTTTTGTTTTTTTAATCTGAGAGGCCGCATAACCTAGCTAGCGGGTTCTTTGCAAGGGTTCATTCCACATGCATCCTGCCAGACACTGGGCTGGGTGTTGGAAGATCAGCCTTCCACGCGCCAGGCGGGGCCTCTGCCCTCACAGAGCTTGCAGCCTGGTGGGGTCGGACAGTGTGGCTGCGGAGCTTCTCTGCCCGGCTCCTGACACACCGGCAGCAGTGCAGGTCCGGGGAGCGCGGGGAGACCGCCCGCAGGGTAACGTGTGGAGCCAGCCGGCCCGACACTGCGCAAGCACACACTACCTGCGGCGGTGTGCTGACAAGCCAATTGCAGGTACTCCATCTTACAAAACGCGCTTCATGTCGCCGCCATTCCAATGCCTAACCCAGAGAGGGCAGGCACGACGGGGAGCAGTCCCGAAGGCGGCTGGCGCCAGGCGGAGCGCCGCGCTTTGACAGCTGGAGTCCGGGAGACGTCTTTGGGCCGCGCATGCGCGATGCTCTCGCCCTGCCCCACCTCTCGGTCGCGGATTGGCGGGCGTGGGTCACGTGGGCACACCACCCGTTTCCTCGCCGCAGGGGGCCCGCCCGCCGGCTCGTTTCCGGTCCGGTGGGTCCAAGATGACTGAGCCGGGAGCCTCTCCCGAGGACCCTTGGGTCAAGGCAAGCCCCGTGGGCGCGCACGCCAGCGAGGGGAGGGCGGGTCGGGCTCGTGCACGTAGGGGGGCCGGAAGACGAGGGGCTTCCCTCCTGTCCCCAAAGTCCCCCATGTTCTCCGGGCCCCGGGGCTGCAGAGAAGACAGCTCTCACCCCGCGTGTGCCAAGGTGGGGAGACAAATGAGGCGTGTGCGCGCGAGTCGGGGGAACGGGGGACTGGGGTGGAGTAGGGGCGGAAGAGATCATACACGGGGGAGGCGCTCGCACGGCCTAGCCCGTGCCAAGTCTCGGGGGAATCATTAAGGTGCCCGCGCACCCCGGGCTGTGTGTGCGCGAGCGCGCAGGGTGACAGAGGTGCCTTCCCGGAATGCGGGGCGCGCTGTGTGTGCCTGCAGTGAAAGTGTCGCCCCCACCAGGGGCGGAGGTCTGACGGGCCCCTCCCGTGCTCTGTGCCGCAGGTGGAGTATGCCTACAGCGACAACAGCCTGGACCCCGGTGAGTAGCTCCCCCATCGTAAGCTCTAGAGGTACACTCCCGCCCAGGCTCTCTAGAATTCTTGTGGTGTTGCCAACCACGCCTGAGCACAGTCCACTGTCCCTGAGCAGAGTTCCTGGCTTGAGACAGCAGGAGCTGAAGGACGAGGGCAGAAAACAACTGAGGGTGACACCTAGTTCCCTCTGTTCTGGAACAGGAAAGTGGTGGAACTAATGGCAGCTGATCACTCACACTGTCACGTCCAGATGCCCGTTTGTGAGCCAGGGGTATCATGCAGGACTATGGAGCAGTGTAGACACTAGGGAGCAGAGCGCTGCAGCGTAGTCTGGCTGGAAGTGGGGGGCCCAGTATGGTTGGCTTTGGGTTGAAGGGAAGAGGTCAGCATTTAAGAAAGCCATTGTGTCCTACAGGTGTCTGAGGGTCTGGCAGTGTTCCCCACCCTGCCCCTTAGTGATTGGGGCCTCTCTTTTCCAGGGCTTTTTGTAGAAAGCACCCGCAAGGGGAATGTAGTGTCCAGAGCTAATAGCATCGGTTCCACCAGTGCCTCTTCTGTCCCCAACACAGGTAGGCAGTTACATCCCCCCCACCTCGAGGGGCTCAGATACGTCATAATTGTAGTACCTTTCCTAGACAGGGAAGCCCCAGCCATCCACACAGGGGTGCTGGAGCCCAAGTATCAGACACAGGGTCTCACCATCTTTCACCTCATCTGGAACATTAGGTTCTCTGTCCATCTGCCTTCTCTGGACACCAGGTTCTTCCCAGATAGGGAAAGGTGGGCTAGCTGGACCCCACTGGGCCCCAAGATGACCTCTCCCTGCCCCCATCTCTGAGCGTAGATGACGAGGACAGTGATTACCACCAGGAGGCCTACAAGGAGTCCTACAAAGACCGGCGGCGGCGAGCACACACTCAGGCTGAGCAGAAGAGGAGGGACGCCATCAAGGTGACCAGGGAGGCCTGTGCCTCAGCCAGTGTAGGAGGGCCCTGCATAGTTCAGCTTCCCTGTGCCCTGACCCTCTCAGACAGTCCCAGGCACCCTAGGGGTGGGCAGATAGTGTAGTCCCAGGCACGAACACTTCCATTGCAGCCTTTCCAACCCGTTGTGTTTGTGAGCATAGAACTTGGTATCACGAAAGAACTTTGTGCCAGTTTGCTTTAATCTCTCAGAGTTAAAAACCCCATTTCCCCTGCTGTCTCCACAGAGAGGCTATGATGACCTTCAGACCATCGTCCCCACTTGCCAGCAGCAGGACTTCTCCATTGGCTCCCAAAAGCTCAGCAAAGCCATCGTTCTACAAAAGAGTATGGCTAGGGAAAGCACTGGAGGGGCTGGAGTCAAGAGGGGCTGTGAAGAGGCCAGCGCCTCCTACCCACCCATGGCTCGGCCTTGGTTTGGTGATTGCCATGGGATAGTTGGGGTCTAGGGGAAGGGGAACAAAGTCAGCCTTATCTTCCTGTTTGAGAATACTTTTGTACCTACCCTCTTTTCCTGCCCCTACCCTAGCCATTGACTACATTCAGTTTTTGCACAAGGAGAAGAAAAAGCAGGAGGAGGAGGTGTCCACGTTACGCAAGGATGTCACGGCCCTAAAGATCATGAAAGTGTAAGAGGGGTGCTGAATGGGGGGAACCAGAGCTTCTAAGGGAACTTCATTGGACACCCTCCCTTGTTCAAAGGCTACATCAGTTACTACAGTACAGGTAATACTCTCAGTTCCTGAGCTAGCCAGTAGAAGCAGGACTGTGTATCCCCAACTGTCCTTACACATGGCAGACACTCAGGAAATGTCTGTTGGATTAATGTAAGGAAGGTTGGAGAGAGAGGGCCATTTCCTGGCCTGGAAGCAGTATTTCCCTGATATTGAACCCCACCCAGAAGCCCTCTGGGGATGCCATTCCTGGGAGTACACAGGGTAGTCCCATCCTTTTTCTTGGGTGGGCGGAGCTGCTACAGCACCTCAGCCCTGGCCTGCGTGCTTTTAGGAACTATGAGCAGATTGTGAAGGCACACCAGGACAACCCCCATGAAGGGGAGGACCAGGTCTCTGACCAGGTCAAGTTCAACGTGTTTCAAGGCATCATGGATTCCCTGTTCCAGTCCTTCAATGCCTCCATCTCGGTGGCCAGCTTCCAGGAGCTGTCAGCCTGTGTCTTCAGCTGGATTGAGGAGCACTGTAAGCCTCAGGTATGGAGCAACAATGGGCACAGGGCCTGCGGTTTTCTCTACCATCAAGCAAAGTGGCCCAAACCATCAGCTGTTGAGAAAAGCATGGCAGCTCCTTTTAGATCTTAAGGGTATTTCTACAGCTTTCAGGGCCCTGGTATTTTCCCGTTTCTTTGCTGTCTAACCCACATCTTCATGTTATGGTTTCATTTGGCAAGTGTGATGTGAGCTCAATGTCAAGTCTAGCTCTTGGCTTTCGTCTAGCCTATGTTATCGCTGCACCTGTATGGAAGCCCCAGGCATCTGCAGCAGAATTGGAAACATGGAAATTCTGGGACCCTACCTCCAGGCCCACTCAAGTAGTTGCCCCAAGAGCTTTTTAGAAATGTATTTATAGTGGAGATGTGCTATAATGGTATTGCACTAAGTCTTCTAATTGAAGTCTGGTTGCTTTTTCTGAGGCTTTAAACTTGTGTCTGAGATTTCTTTTTTTTTTTTTTTTTTTTTGAGACGGAGTCTC